TCACCATCTGCAGTGATTTTGGAACCCCAAAAAATAAAGTCAGCCACTGTTTCCCCATCTATTTGCCATGAAGTAATGGGACCGGATGTCATGATCTTCGTTTTATGAATGCTGAGTTCTAAGTCAACTTTTTCACTTTCCTCTTTCACTTTCATCAAGAGGCTCTTTAGTTCTTCTTCACTTTCTGACATAAGGGTGGTGTCATCTGCGTATCTGAGGTTATTGATATTTATCCTGGCAAACTTGGTTTCAGTTTGTGCTTCATCCAGCCTGGAATTTCGCCTGATGTATGCTGTGCATAAGTTAAATAAGCAGGGTGACAATATACAGCCTTGATGTACTCCTTTCCTGATTTAGAGCCAGTCTGTCCTTTGTCCAGTTCTAATTGCTACTTCCTGACCTGCACACAGATTTCTCAGGAGGCAGGTCAGGTAGTCTGGTATTCCCATCTCTTGAAGAATTTTTCACAGTTTATTGTAATCCATACAGTCAAAGGCTGTGGCGTAGTCAATAAAGCAGAAATAGATGTTTTTCTGGAACTCTCTCGCTTTTTTGATGATGCAACAAATGTTGGCAATTTAATCTCTGGTTCCTCTGCCTTTCATAAATCCAGCTTGAACATCTGGAAGTTCATGGTTCATGCACCTGACTTGGAGAATTTTGAACATTACTTTGCTAGTGTGTGAGATGAGTGCAATTGTGCGGTAGTTTGAACATTCTGTGGCACTGCCTTTCTTTGGGATTGAAATGAAAACCCACCTTTTCCAGTCCTGTGTCCACTGCTGTGTTTTCCAAATTTGCTGGCATACTGAGTGCAGCATTTTCACGGCATCAAATTTTAGGATCTGAAATAGCTCAACTGGAATTTCATCACCTCCACTAGCTTTGTTCGCAGTGATGCTTCCCAAGGCCCACTTGACTTCGCATTTCAGGATGTCTGGCTCAAAGTGAGTGATAGATCAGGTCTGGATCGTGAAGATCTTTTTTGGTACAGTTCTTCTGTGTATTCTTGCCACCTTACGGATTCTTGCCATCTCACGGATGTGAGAGTTGGACCATAAAGACGATTGAGTGCAAAAGAATTGATGCTTTTGAAATTGTGGTGCTGGAGAAGAGTCTTAAGAGTTCCTTGAACTGCAAGGAGATCAAACCAGTTGATCCTAAAGGAAATCAACCCTGAATATTCACTAGAAGGACTGATGCTGAAGTTGAGGCTCCAATACTTGGCCATGCGATGTGAAGAGCTGACTGATTAGAAAAGACTCTGATGATGGGGAAGATTGAAGGCAGAATGAGAAGAAGGCAGCAGAGGATGAGATGGTTTGATAGAACCACCGACTAAATGGATAAATTTGGGCAAATTCTCGGAGACAGTAAAGGACAGGAAACTGGGCATGTTGCTGTCCATCAGGTCAAAAGAGCTGCACATGACTCAGTGACTGGACAACAAAGTACGATTTTCTGTATCCACATATTTTTAATTTATAGACGTCTTTACATTTATGGTGGGTTTCTTTATGATAGTGTATAGTTACATCTTGTTTGATCCACTCTGACAACCCTCATCTTTTAATTGCTACATTTAAGCCATTGATGTTCAAAGTAAATATCGGTATAACTGGAATAATATACAGAATATTTGTACCTGTTTTCTATTTCTTGTCCTTCTTCTCTGTTTCTATTTTATCTTTCACTCTTTTCCTGTCTTTTGTGGTTTTAATTGTGAATTTTATATNGGTCTGGGGCGCACAGGCTTCGGCGGCTGCAGGAGCTGCTCACTGCGGCGGCTCCTCTAGCCTGCAGCAGAGGGTCTGGGGCGCACAGGCTTCGGCGGCTGCAGGAGCTGCTCACTGCGGCGGCTCCTCTAGCCTGCAGCAGAGGGTCTGGGGCGCACAGGCTTCGGCGGCTGCAGGAGCTGCTCACTGCGGCGGCTCCTCTAGCCTGCAGCAGAGGGTCTGGGGCGCACAGGCTTCGGCGGCTGCAGGAGCTGCTCACTGCGGCGGCTCCTCTAGCCTGCAGCAGAGGGTCTGGGGCGCACAGGCTTCGGCGGCTGCAGGAGCTGCTCACTGCGGCGGCTCCTCTAGCCTGCAGCAGAGGGTCTGGGGCGCACAGGCTTCGGCGGCTGCAGGAGCTGCTCACTGCGGCGGCTCCTCTAGCCTGCAGCAGAGGGTCTGGGGCGCACAGGCTTCGGCGGCTGCAGGAGCTGCTCACTGCGGCGGCTCCTCTAGCCTGCAGCAGAGGGTCTGGGGCGCACAGGCTTCGGCGGCTGCAGGAGCTGCTCACTGCGGCGGCTCCTCTAGCCTGCAGCAGAGGGTCTGGGGCGCACAGGCTTCGGCGGCTGCAGGAGCTGCTCACTGCGGCGGCTCCTCTAGCCTGCAGCAGAGGGTCTGGGGCGCACAGGCTTCGGCGGCTGCAGGAGCTGCTCACTGCGGCGGCTCCTCTAGCCTGCAGCAGAGGGTCTGGGGCGCACAGGCTTCGGCGGCTGCAGGAGCTGCTCACTGCGGCGGCTCCTCTAGCCTGCAGCAGAGGGTCTGGGGCGCACAGGCTTCGGCGGCTGCAGGAGCTGCTCACTGCGGCGGCTCCTCTAGCCTGCAGCAGAGGGTCTGGGGCGCACAGGCTTCGGCGGCTGCAGGAGCTGCTCACTGCGGCGGCTCCTCTAGCCTGCAGCAGAGGGTCTGGGGCGCACAGGCTTCGGCGGCTGCAGGAGCTGCTCACTGCGGCGGCTCCTCTAGCCTGCAGCAGAGGGTCTGGGGCGCACAGGCTTCGGCGGCTGCAGGAGCTGCTCACTGCGGCGGCTCCTCTAGCCTGCAGCAGAGGGTCTGGGGCGCACAGGCTTCGGCGGCTGCAGGAGCTGCTCACTGCGGCGGCTCCTCTAGCCTGCAGCAGAGGGTCTGGGGCGCACAGGCTTCGGCGGCTGCAGGAGCTGCTCACTGCGGCGGCTCCTCTAGCCTGCAGCAGAGGGTCTGGGGCGCACAGGCTTCGGCGGCTGCAGGAGCTGCTCACTGCGGCGGCTCCTCTAGCCTGCAGCAGAG